GCTTCTGCTTGAACTGCATCTTGTCTTGTATAATCCGCTGCCTATTAAAACAAATAAAAAATGTGATAATAAAGGACATACAAAAGACCATTCATATATATTCTTTATAGACTACTTTATTCAACCCTTTGTTAATCAATCATCAAAATTAAGTATATATTCCACTTCAACAGGACAATATACAGTTCCTAAATCATTTTAACAGGTCACTTAAAAGAAGAAGAAAAAACATACAAAACATAATCAACCATATCTTTCATTTGACCCATTGATGCCAGGAGGGCAAGTAAAAATGCCATTTCCACTGTGATTTTAGTTCATTAATTGTCCTTACATAAATATGGCTCTACAAGTGTTTAATATCAAGGAGTAAATTACTAGGCCTACATGATCACACTTGTTTACCTAAACCCTTGAATTTTCAGGATTTTTTTTTTTTTTAGTTAGTATTGAAAATTATCAAATTAATGATTACAATATAGTATCAGAAACTTTTTTTTTTTCATCATGAAAATTAAATTAATGGAGTAAAAAGGTGAGATCATATAGGCCTAGCACATGGTGTATAAGTGCTTGTGGACAGTGCATGTAACTGGCACAAATGGGTTTTAACAAGACATATAAAGGAGTACTTAAAATATTGATAATCACAAAGAAGTTATCACACATTGTTACAATTCCAATAATCTCCCACACAGACCTCAGTCCTCACTCTACTTTACACTCTGTGATGTAAGAGTGTCGTGAAGGTTAATGATTCCTTCTGTGTTCAATCACTATATCACTTTAATAACTGCCACTAAATCATGGGTGAGCCACTTTCAAACAGATATATTTCACAAATCAACAGAGCCTAATATATCCTTTCAGATACTATCATATGGTACAAAAAGCTGCTAAAATGGAAAACCACAGAAAATATAACCCATGAAACAGTGAAACAATTAATGGTGAAGCATTTTTTTGACAACACATTAACAAATACAATTCCCAACATTCAGAATTTCATGATCCTACTTGCTAAGCAACTCACGTACTCCATATTTGGTTGACCCACCATCACTGTGGGAATTCTCTCTGGACAGGATTGTCTTCCGTTCCATTTCACAGGATGAGCTACCTGACTGAAACAACTCTCTTTGATGTGAAAGAATGCATTTCTACAGGATAAGTAGCAGAACTAATTACTGATTACTGAGGAATACAGCCCCAACATCTCATAAAAGGTTATTCCACACCTGAATTATGCTGTTACTGTCTTGAGCTTCACAACTCTCTTGTTCTAAAAGGTTCTAAAAATATACATATATCCTTGTCTCTCTTTCCCTCAACCTCTTCTTCCATCTCTTACTCTTCATCTGTTTCCTCCACCTCTTTCTCTACCCTTCTACCAAACTATTGCTCTTTCTCTCCTTAGGATCTAACCTGAAGTATTTCAAATAAAGCAGTCTCCCTGATTTCCCTTCAAACAAAAGAAGTCCTCTTGAACAGTCCAAGATTGAGGATCTTTTAACATTTCCCACTATCCACTGGCACAGGTACAGGTACTCTCAATTCTAGTGTTACTCCTACTCCTCCTCCTGCTCTTACTCCTGCTCTTACTCCTGCTCTTACTCCTGCTCTTACTCCTGCTCTTGCTCCTGCTCTACTCCTGCTCGTACTCCTGCTCGTACTCCTGCTCGTACTCCTGCTCGTACTCCTGCTCTTCTGCCCTGCTCTTACTCCTGCTCTTTACTCCTGCTCTCACTCCTGCTCTTACTGCTCCTGCTCTTGCTCTGCCTTGCTCTTGCTCTGCTTCTTGTGCTCTTGCTCCTACTCTTATTCCCACTTCTTACTCCTACTCTTACTCCTACTCTTTACTTTTACTCCTACTCTTACTCCTACTCTTAACTCTTACTCCTACTTTCTCCTTATTCCTTCCTCCTCCTCCTCCTCCTCCTCCTCCTCCTCCTCCTCCTCCTCCTTCCTCTCTCCTCCTCTTCTCCTCCTCCTCCTCTTCCTCCTCCTCCTCTTTCCTCTTCCTCTCCTGCTTCCTCTTCCTCTTCTCTCCTCTCCTCTTCTTCCTCCTCCTCCTCCTCCTCTTCCTCTTCCTCTCTCCTCTTTCCTCTTCCTCTTCTTCTTCTTTCTTCTTCTTCTTTTCTTCTTCTTCTTCTTCTCTTCTTTCTTCCTTCTTCTTCTTCTTCTTCCTCTTCTCTTCCTCTCTCTTCCTCTTCCTCTTCCTCTTCCTCTTCCTCTTCCTCTTCCTCTTCCTCTTCTCTTCCTCTTCTCTTCCTCTTCCTCTTCCTCCTCTTTCTTCTTTTCTTATCTTCCTCCTCCTCCTCTTCTCCTAGCCCTCTCTCCCTCTCCACCCTCTCCCTCTCCCAGCCCTCTCCCTCTCCCAGCTCTCCCTCTCCAGCCCTCTCCCTCTCCCAGCCCTCTCCCTCTCCCAGCCCTCTCCCTCTCCCAGCCCTCTCCCTCTCCCAGCCTCCCTCTCCAGCCCTCTCCCTCTCCCAGCCCTCTCCCTCTCCTTCTCCCCAGCCCTCTCCTCTCCCAGCCCTCTTCCTCTCCCAGCCCTCTCCCTCTCTCCCCTCTCCCAGCTCCTCTTCCTCTCCCAGCCCTCTTCCTCTCCCAGCCCTCTTCCTCTCCCAGCCCTCTTCCTCTCCCAGCCCTCTCCCTTTCCCAGCCCTTGCCCTTACCCTCTCCTTCTCCCACTCCCTTTCTCTTACAATCTGCTCTTCACATTACAAAACTGATAGTGAGCAAGTTTTATTCTAAACTATAGATTGTTATTGCCATTTTCAACAAACTATATATATTTGATTTTACTTGTTTAAAAAATTGTTTTCATTTAGCTATGACAAGGAATCTGAAAATACCTGAGAATCAAGCACCGAAAGACACTTCCAAAATCAAACAACAACCCACTTTTTGTCAAACATTATGATCACAAAGAAATAGTATGATATCTTTGTTAAAATATTTCTTACCTTACTTGCATCTTTACTTATAGATTAATTTGCACAATCTTTTGAAATCCATAACAAAAAAATACAGATTTATATGTTACAACTAAGAATTATCTGTTTACAAAACTAGAAAAGAGGTTATTAGTAAAAGTTAATCAAAAGATATTTACATCAATGATATAATCATAAAATTCAGTTCATGGTTCCACAAACCTATTTAGTGAATTAAATCATAAAAAAGTGTTTGAAAACATAGGAAAAAAATACAGAGCCATTAATATCTGGAAAACTCTAGATCTTGAAAAACATATTTTCTATACAGGAGGTAATTATTAATCATCATATGTCAAAAAATAACATCTTTTCCTAGCAGTAGGGTTGAGTATGATATGTGTATATAAGATGAATAGACTAAAGGGACTAGTTTAAATTACATAAACATGAGAAAAGGCAGGATCTATTAAGTTCAAAGTTAAGCCTAATATAAATATAATCTTGCCCGTCCTCAATTACTCAAGTGGGATCTACAGGTTCAGATCAAGTAAGCTTTAACAAACAGGTAGTCTATATCTTCTTTGTTTGTCTATTTGTTTGTTTATCTATCTGTTGGTTTATTAAGTACTAATCAATTATCAAGTAAAACCTTTCATGCAAAAAAAAACCTAGTAAATTTTTCAGGGTAGTGAGCGAGTTCATGTGAGCACAAAGATTTACAGGACTGATAAACAATTGTGGCCTTACCATTAGTTCTGCAGATTATATCAATATCTAACAAAGATGTTTTATGACATTCATATAGCAATTAGCTTATACCTTGCCATGGTCCTAGTCTGAACATCTACTTGAGTTACTGTGATCGAAGTGGTTATAGAAACAAAAAAATCTGCCGCTTAGCCCGAGAATCATATGGAAACAGATCTGTTTCTCTATCTACAGAAAATCTTTCTGCAGGGACGGACAACCGGAACATTTCCTCGAATTGCGATCGAGGTTGTCAAATGCAGCTGAGTACTGCCAAAGATGACCTGAATTAGTTAGGTTAGGTTGAGTATGGTTAGGTTGGGTTAGATTAGGTTAGGTTAGGTTGAGTATGGTTGGGTTGGGTTGGGGGTTGGGTTGGGTTGGGGGTTGGGTTGGGTTGGGTTGGGTTGGGTTGGGTTGGGTTGGGTTGGGTTGGGTTTGGGTTGGGTTGGGTTTGGGTTGGGTTGGGTTGGTTGTTGGGGTTGGGTTGGGTTGGTTGGGTTGGGTTGGGTTGGTTGGGTTGGGTTGGGTTGGGTTGGGTTGGGTTGGGTTGGGTTGGGTTGGGTTGGGTTGGTTGGGTTGGGTTGGTTGGGTTGGGTTGGGTTGGGTTGGGTTGGGTTGGGTTGGGTTGGGTTGGGTTGGGTTGGGTTGGGTTGGGTTGGGTTGGGTTGGGTTGGGTTGGTTGGGTTGGGTTGGGTTGGGGGTTGGGTTGGTTGGGTTGGGTTGGGTTGGGTTGGGTTGGGTTGGGTTGGGTTGGGTTGGGTTGCATTGGGTTGGGTTAGGATTGGATTGGGTTAGGATTGGGAACTGGATCTGTGCCTCCAAGAAAGAAAATAATCGTGTAGAAACAGATCCATTTCTGTAACCCTTGCCTACTGTGATACCTCCTTTACATGTAGTTGTTGGCTTTCCTTGTCTTTCTGAAAAAAATATATATCTAATGATGTAGTTTTATGTTTCTTTTTCACCTTTCTCTGCCTTTTTTATATTTGTGATCAGTGCATCCCAACTCAGAAAATTAAAAATTGCAAACTTACACAAGGTTCATTACAAATAGAGGAGGATATAATACTTTAAATAATTTACTTGATGGTGACTGGCAAAAAGTCATAGTGGCCACCACATATATCCCAAGAACCTTGTACTTATATGACAGCTCTATAGCCTAATATTGACAGCTCTAAAATAGATTTGAATGACTAGATTTGAATGTTATAGGAGTTTAGGTGTGCATACCTTGGGAGATGAAAAAGGCATTTTGATTGAATATTTGAAAAGTAATATAATATACAATTGGTTATTGGTTAACTTTAT